ACCTAAGTAAGAGTTGTCTGGTTGTATGGTGTAATGGTTAGCACTCTGGACTCTGGATCCAGTGATCCAAGTTCTAATCTTGGTAGGACCTTTGTTTTGGTAAAATTTAAAAAAGATTTCCTGTTTTCCTTGTTTTAACTGTTTGTAGATAGACAAAGAACTTAGTAACTGTGCTAAAATTTATCAGGTTCTATGGTGTAATGGTTAGCACTCTGGACTCTGAATCCAGCGATCTGAGTTCAAATCTCGGTAGGACCTTTTCTTTCTGCTAACCAATAAAGAGGTTTATTGTTTTGCCGGTTAAAACTCATTTTAGATAGACAAAATACTTATTAATCTAAGTAAGAGTTGTCTGGTTGTATGGTGTAATGGTTAGCACTCTGGACTCCCAATCCAGTGATCCGAGTTCAAATATCAGTAGGACCTTTTTTTTGGTAAAAATAAAAAAGATTTCATGTTTTCCTTGTTTTAACTGTTTGTAGATAGACAAAGAACTTAGTAACTGTGCAAAGATTTATCAGGTTCTATGGTGTAATTGTTAGCACTCTGGACTCTGAATCTAGCGAACTGAGTTCATATCTCGGTAGGACCTTTTTTCTGCTAACAATAAAAAAAAATTCAGTGTTTTGCTGGCTAAAACTGGTTGAAGATAGACATAGGACTTATTATCTCAACTATTAAGTGTGTGGTTCTATGGTGTAATGGTTAGCACTCTGGACTTTGAATGCAGCGGTCCGAGTTCAAATCTCGGTAGGACTTTTTTTTCTGCTAACCATTAATGAGGTTTATTGTTTTGCCGGTTAAAACTGATTTTAGATAGACAAAATACTTATTAACTAAAATACAATCAGCAATCTGAGTTCAAATCTTGGTAGGACCTTTATTTTGGTAAAAAGAAAAAAGAGTTCATGTTTTCCTTTTTTTAACTGTTTGGAGACAAAAAAACTTAGTAACTGTGCCAAGATTTGTCAGGTTCTATGATGTAATGGTTAGCCCTCTGGATTCTATATCAAGTGATCCGAGTTCAAATATCAGTAAGACCTTTGTTTTGGTAAAAATAAAAAAAGAGTTCAAATCTCAAAGCTAAAATTTAGCAGGTACTATGGTGTAAGCGTTAGCTCTCTGGATTCTGAATCCATGGATTCGAGTTCAAATCTCGGTAGGACCGTTTAAAAAAAAAAAAAAAAAATCATGTTTTCCTTGTTTCAACTGGTTTGAGATAGACAAAGATCTTAGTAACTGTGTGAAGATTTATCAGGTTCTATGGTGTAATGGGTAGCACACTGGACTCTGAATCCAGCAATCTGAGTTCGAATCTTGGTAGGACATTTATTTTGGTAAAAAAAAAAGATTTCATGTTTTTCTTGTTTTAACTGTTTGTAGATAGACAAAGAACTTAGTTACTGTGCTAAGATTTATCAGGTTCTATGGTGTAATGGTTAGCACTTTGGACTCTGAATCCAGTGATCCAAGTTCAAATCTCGGTAGGACCTTTGTTTTGGTAAAAATAAAAAAGATTTCATATTTTCCTTGTTTTAACTGTTTAGAGACAAAAAACTTAGTAACTGTGCCAAAATTTATCTGGTTTTATGGTGTAAAGGTTAGCACTCTGGACTCTGAATCCAGTGATCTGAGTTCACATTTTAGTAGGACCTTTGTTTTGGTAAAAATAAAAAAGATTTAATGTTTTACCCTTTTCCACTGGTTTGAGATAGACAAACAACTTAGTAACTGTGCGAAGATTTATCAGGTTCTATTGTGTAATTGTTAGCACTCTGGACTCTCAATCTAGCGAACTGAGTTCATATCTCAGAAGGACCTTTTTTCTGCTAACAATAAAAAAAATTCAGTGTTTTGCTGGCTAAAACTGGTTGAAGATAGACATAGGACTTATTATCTCAACTATTAAGTGTGTGGTTCTATGGTGTAATGGTTAGCACTCTGGACTTTGAATGCAGCGGTCCGAGTTCAAATCTCGGTAGGACTTTTTTTTCTGCTAACCATTAAAGAGGTTTATTGTTTTGCCGGTTAAAACTGATTTTAGATAGACAAAATACTTATTAACTAAAATACAATCAGCAATCTGAGTTTAAATCTTGGTAGGACCTTTATTTTGGTAAAAAGAAAAAAGAGTTCATGTTTTCCTTTTTTTAACTGTTTGGAGACAAAAAAACTTAGTAACTGTGCCAAGATTTGTCAGGTTCTATGGTGTAATGGTTAGCCCTCTGGACTCTACATCAAGTGATCCGAGTTCAAATATCAGTAGGACCTTTGTTTTGGTAAAAATAAAA